TTCTTATATTGCATTCGCGTTTGTCATCTCGTCTTTAAAGTCGTAGTCCGAATTAAAGAAAATACTGCTCAACCAATTGGATCTGTTTTCATGCTTACAGTTAACCAGTTGACTAAAAAATGATTGGGTAATAACTGCATCATGTGATTATACTTGCAGAGGATTCTGGGTCAACCGGTTCAGAACAAGACGACATGGATGGCTCTGGATCAGCATCAGAATCGGGTGACGCTGGCGATACCTCAGACTCGGGTGAAACAGGCGAGGGAGTGTCCGAAACAGCAAATATTATTGGGGAAAATAAAAAAGGCCCGCCAAGTAAAGACTCAGCGAACGACGACCAAAAATTGGTCGAACAGGTTAAGGTAGTAGAAAAGCCTGCTGAACAGGTAAAGCATCAAGAAGAGATTAAAGATGAAGACAAAAATGAACCGGTTAAACAGGTTTCTGAGGAGGGAAAACCAGTTAAACAGGATGAATCGGGTGAAGGCGAGGTCCTGGGAAGTAGCAAATCAGGGGAAGAAGGTAGCAAATCGGGAGAGAGTGGAGAAACTAGCGAAATTGGTGAATCTACCAATTCAAGAAGAAGTGAGATTCCAAAGGAATCTGATGAAAGTGTCGAGTCAGAGAAAAGTGAAGAATCTGGAGAGAGTGGAGAAAGTGGCGCGAGTGGTGAATATGGCGACAGTGACGAACCGGAAGAAAGTGGTGAATCTACCATTTCGAGAAGAAGTGAGATTCCAAGAGAATCCGGAGAAAGTGGAGAAACGGGTGAAAGTGGAGAATCCGGAGAAAGTGGAGAATCGGGTGAAAGTGGAGAATCGGGTGAAAGTGGAGAATCGGGTGAAAGTGGAAAATCGGGTGAAAGTGGAGAATCKGGTGAATCTGGAGAGTCTGGCGAAAGTGGAGAATCTGGCGAATCTGGCGAATCTGGGGAAAGTGGAGAATCTGGCGAAAGTGAAGAAGGAGATGTCAGTAAGAGGAGTGAAATTGCTGATGAAAAGAAAGGTATACAAGCTATATTTAATATTTAGTATGGTGGATTTTCAAAAATAAAGTTAATTCATTGTGTTCATTGCAGAAACTACGAATAGCAAAGACTCTTTATTGTCAGAAAATAAAGATCAAAAGCCAAAGGAAGCATCACAAGACAACTCTGCCAAAGAATCTGGGAACAGTGGCGATGATGCGGGTAGCGGAGAGTCTGGGGAGGGCAGTGAATCTGGAGAAAGCGGAGAGTCTGGGGAGAGCGGTGAATCTGGAGAAAGCGGAGAGTCTGGAGAGAGCGGTGAATCTGGAGAAAGCGGAGAGTCTGGGGAGAGCGGTGAATTTGGAGAAAGCGGAGAGTCTGGGGAGAGTGGAGAATCTGGAGAAAGCGGAGAAAGCTCGGATGGTTCTGTCTCCAAGAGAAACAGCATTCCAGATGACAACAATTCTCAATCAAAGAAAAACCCAACACTTGCAAAGGAATCTAGCTCGAGAGGTGAGGAAGATTTTGAAGAATCTGGCGAAAGTGGCGAATCTGGCGAAAGTGGCGAATCTGGCGAGAGTGGCGAATCTGACGAAAGTAGCGAATCTGGCGAAAGTGGCGAATCTGGCGAAAGTGGTGAATCCGGAGAAAGTGGTGAATCTACCATTACTAGAAGAAGTGAGATTCCAAGAGAATCTGGCGAAAGTGGCGAATCAGGAGAAAGTGGCGAATCAGGAGAAAGTGGCGAATCGGGAGAAAGTGGCGAATCTGGCGAAAGTGGCGAATCAGGAGAAAGTGGCGAATCTGGGGAAAGTGGAGAATCTGGGGAAAGTGGCGAAAGTGGAGAATCAGCTGATGGATCTATCACCAAACGAAGCAACATTCCAGTAGAGCCCATAAACGTGTTAGAGAAACTGAAAAATTTTAAAATAAATGCCAAACTATCTGACGAAAGTAACAATGCCAGTGAAAAATCTGGAGAAAGCGGCGAATCTGGAGAAAGCGGAGAATCTGGAGAAAGCGGCGAATCTGGAGAAAGCGGCGAATCTGGAGAAAGCGGCGAATCTGGAGAAAGCGGCGAATCTGGAGAAAGCGGAGATTCTGAGGAGAGTGGCGAATCTGGAGAAAGCGGAGAGTCTGGGGAGAGTGATGAATCTGAAGACGAGTCCATATCTAAACGAGACGAAATCCCTTCAGATAACAACGGTAAGGAACAAAAGGAGAGAAACTCCTTTAATTTCAAACGAAGAATGGAAAAATAATTAGAAACTATATTGTTTTATTTGGACAGACAAACCTCAGAATAGCGAAGAGTCTGGGGAGAGCGGCGAATCTGGAGAAAGCGGAGAATCTGGAGAGAGCGGAGAATCTGGAGAAAGCGGAGAATCTGGGGAGAGCGGAGAATCTGGGGAGAGTGGAGAATCTGGAGTAAGCGGAGAATCTGAGGAGAGCGGAGAATCTGGGGAGAGCGGAGAGTCAGGCGAAAGTAACGTATCAAAGAGAAATAAAATAGCAGAGGAAAAACCCGGTAAGAGTAAAATACATAATTTATGCTACAGCATCCTATGGTCTATTTATCAAAAAAGGTAACTCGTTATGAACATTTATATATTACAGACAACAAAGCAGAGGAAGAAAAAGTAAAATCAGTGAAGTCTAGCAAAAGTGACAAATCTGGAGCAAGCGGAGAGTCTGGGGAGAGCGGAGAATCTGGAGAAAGCGGAGAGTCTGGGGAGAGCGGAGAATCTGGAGAAAGCGGAGAATCTGGAGAAAGCGGAGAATCTGGAGAAAGCGGAGAATCTGGAGAAAGCGGAGAATCATTTGAGACAAAAAGAAGCGAAATTCCAAGTGAACAGACAGGTAGTTAAACTCTTAACTCTTTCGGTTATTAAAAAACATAAATAGTTATTTAACTCTTTATATTTACTGTACTAGATACGAGCAACCAAGCGCGCATTGTGAGAAGAAATTACATTCCCAAAGAAGAAAACTCAGCCATACAAGCGCTCAACGAAGACTTAACAGACTCTGCCCTTGGTCTTGATGATGAAGATCAAGATGATGATGCTGAACATACCTCGGTTGAAAATAACGAAGGTATCTCTAAGGTGGAGACTGGTAACGAGCACGGTCAACTGATAAGCGATACCCTGGCAAATGGTAATAACGAAGACAGCATGAAAGCGAAGGTGGAGAAGGCTGATAACAAGCAAGCTGAACTGATTAGTGATACACGTAATAATAACAACGAAGACAGCGCGAATGCCAAGGTGGTTAAGACTGGTAACGAGCGCGGTCAGCTCATCAGCGATACACTCGGAGATATTGGACAAGCTGCACATGCCGTAGACGTCGAAAAAAAGTCGGATATTATCCATAGTCTACCTAAGACTAGTGAAGATACGGCTAGTGCTAGTGGAGAATCGAGTGGATCAGCCGAGATGCCGAACGCAAATGCCGACGTAACGCCGAGTACACAACGGAAAATTACGATCAAGAATCTGTTCAACGCATTAGGTGAATCAGATGCTGAAACAACCGAAGAAAAACCAAAGCAGCAAGATGCAGAAAAAAGATCTAAGACGGTAAAAATATCAGCCTGTGTAATTATCATATTCTGGGAAAATTTATAATAACTTTTTTCTTTTGTTTGCGTTTATTTTATGCAGGAAAAGCCAAGTGAATTGAAAATGAATAGTATGTTGGACAAAGTTTGGACCCAAGGTAAGTAATTCAATGAAAATCAAATTTAAATCAACGAATCTAAAATGATTTAGACGACAATTTCACATTCACATTCACACCACACACACACACATACACAAAAAACACTAACCTTGACTAGAAGTCTTTTTCTTTTTTCTTGAGTGCTTGCCAGCTAATCTTGAATGGAGTTCGTCCTTGTCAAAGGAGTTTTACTCTTTGACATTCTAGGAAGCTATCTTTTCATTCATCTTCAGCTTGTTTTCCAAGACTGTTATAAAATTCTTTCGCTGTTGATTGAGTTTTTCACAACATACCCAAGCATAGTTTCTATCAAAAACTCATGTTCCTTCTTCACTTTCACTACCAAAGCTCGACATTTTTCTTCAGTATTCTTAAACCTTAGTTAACTGTTAGTTTTGCTCGAGTATACCACTAAAATTGGAGGAATTTTTCGCAATAAAATATAAGAAAGTATCTGAGAAAATGTTTTCAATGACGAAAACTCGAGTCAAAGCCGTGAATGAAGTGCAAACGCGCCAGCGCCAGAATGGTTTTCCTGCTCTATGATTGGCTGTTGTCTAGATGACGCTCTTCTGTCAGATTTCGCTTTAATAGTTGCGCAAAGCAACCTGGTTAATACTTTTCATAAACTTGTTATTCCACCAGAAAAAATTTTAAAAGAATTTCATTTAAATTAATTGAAAATTTCCTTTAAGTTTATTTTTAAAATAATTTCTCTTCGTTCGTTTGTTTAGATGATGATGTTGCTGTGGAAACAGCCCCCGTGACTTTGACTCAAAGCGAACAAGCAGAAAAGGCAGAGGTAAATGACTTGAACTATTTAAAAAAATTATGAGATAAGTTGAGTACATTTTCATTTACTTAAAAAATTAAKTTCGGATATTTCTTTTGATTACAGCTCGCTGATAAACTAGCAACGTCTTCTAACACTGACCAGGCCACAGTGAACAAAGGTAATTTGATTGGCAGTTCTCCTATGATATCACACTCCTTAACATATTGAAAGTATTAACCTTGATACCTCCAAGATGCATCACTCGAATCATATAAAAATATTTTGCAATTCAGGTATTTGCTTTATGTAGAATCAATAGAGTGCTCACACTAAATCCGTGAAACAAATACTAATTTTTAGCACTAAATAGTGATAATTAAACAATAGAAAACAAAGGATTCTGTATGAAATAGTACAAATTAGTACTATTTAATCTTCACGGTTTTAGTGCGTGCACTCTACTGAAATTATTGATTAGGGTTTATAGGCAAGTTTATAAGTACAGGTTGATAGGTTGCTATAGACGTATTTCTCTACTAATGATATAACTTCGTTAGACGTCCAAGCACTCGAAGGTTACGCTAATGCACTAACAGAAGTAGGAGGTTTGACGTCAGAGCACCATAAAGCCATTGCAACCAAGCTTGCTCTCGACATGATGGATGATCTGAAGGTCCCGGATGACAAGCGAGCAGAAGTACTCAAGAAGGAGACCAGGTTTATAAAAGATGCTGAGCTTGCCTACGTCAGAAGTAAGTTCAGTTGATATAGAGCAGCTTTGGTATGAGAACTTCGGTGCACATGCGTGCCCTGATTTTTTCTCGCGCAATGTCATTGGTTGTTTGGTTGTACCTCGCGGCTCCTGGCTCCAATTAATCCTTACTTTTCTTTTTGAAACTAAAAAGAATCAATGTCTTTGAAATTTTAGATAAAATCGCTCAAGTTCGTCTCGACATGATGAAATTTGCAGAAGAACACCAGGGAGAAAAAGAAACGATACGAGAAGAGGCGATTAAACGATTAGACGACATCGTCGACCGTCTGCCTCTATCCAAAAGAGACATTGAAAAGCAATTCAAAGAAATTAAATCATCTCCTCTTCTTCAAAAAATTATCAAAGGAGCGGCAGAGAAAACCGAGCTTAAGCGTCGACTACGAAGAGCGATAGCTGATTTAATTGTCGATGAAGTCATGCGGTGAGCAGTTAAAGCAAAATCCAAGAAAATAATCATAGAATATTCACCTTGTAAAGACACAGTAAGCTAAGACTTTGACCACGAACATCATTTTTGAAATTCAGGAGATTTTTCAAGAATCCAAACCAAACCAAAATTTTTTCTTTTAATCACGCGCGCCTTTATCGAGTGATCACATGATTATTGCCTGAAAACGAAGTTTTGATAGAGCTTATGGGTATAGGGCATTGTGGGTTATAATTTTATCAAACCTTTTAAGTCCTTATCATTGGAAGCTCTATTTCGACCTCGTTCTCATGCAAAGGCCTGGTTACCATTCAAGATGGTTGAAAATGGGTTTCTGTCTGAACATAAGTCTTTCGTCCCCAACTCTCTCACTGTTCGCTATCTTTTTGTTGCTGCCAAGACTGAACTATAAGATCTGCATGGCCAAAGGAGCTTATGAAATTGTAATTATTTTGCCTGCACTTATTCAACATTGCTTATATAATTTATCACAATATAAATACATGGGAACCCTATGTTTATTTTAAACGAGGAGGCCTGCTATAGACCTTTTTAGATCCACAGGGAGCCCAAACATCGGAATTCACTCAACGTTTAAACTTCATTTCTTTGCTTTACATTTAAGGACAGTCAATATTCGTAGAAAACCTGGCTGTGTACAGTAATTGTTAATTCAATTGTTAAATTTTGTTTCTAATGATTAATCAATAATAATTTCAAATAATTTATCTACATTTTATGTAGATCAGTTTGGTCATTTCATTTGACCTTTTCGACACATCTGTGATTTCACATACGGGAACTCGTTTTTGATAGTTGCCATAGAGACAGGAGCCAAGCAAGGCTCTACGAATAATATGTATCAATTTCTGTAGAAAACGGGAATAAAATAATAAATGCTATGCGATGCTATTTGTGTGTGCTTTCATTTGGCAACCTATTACCCCAGGGAGGGGAGGGATAGGGGCTTTAGACCATTTCGTCGTCCAGTGACCAAAAATCAAAACTCATTTTTTACATTTTTTTTTTAATTTTTGAAATAATTTTTTAATATATTATTTCGACTTATATCGTTTAAATAATTTTTTAAAATGTTAATAGTAAAAAACTAAAACTTTTTTTTGAATTTTTTGTCAACTGGTCCCTCCTCTTTAAAACCTTTTTATCTATTTCGTTGGGTAGCCTGTGGCAAGAGAAGAGAAGACCCAACTTCGAAACAACCGTCCCAGTCCCCTTAACGGAATCGCAGTCTTTGAGAGGACCGGGGCTACTTCTTTACGATAAGACGAACTGAGAAACGCTCATCTTTTTTGGATACATCTAATATTTACGTCCATAAAACTTAAATACAATGCATCCAAAATTACAGCTTCCGGTTGGTACGCAGTGCCTTGTGGGATAGAAACCAACCGGAAGTTAGAATTCTTGATGCTGTATAACTAATATGTTAACAATATTCGTATAGGAAATACTTTAACTGATAAAACTTTTCGCTGATTTTCATTGGCCAACGCGTAAGTCACGTGATTATTTGAGATGTATGTTGCGCAATATCCAATTTTAAAATTTATCTGTAATAATTTATGCGCAGAAGTGTTTCAATTAGCAATATCATAAAATTCAGAGAATTTACAGAAGGAGAATTTAGACGTGGATTTATAGAACAAATTCTTTCAAATAATATATCCCCGGTCAAGCTTGGGTGTCTTGATAAGTATTCAAGAACTTGAATTGAAGAGAGAGGGTGGAAAGAGGCCTTGTTTTACATAATCCTGTACGATCTGAAAATGAAAATGAAAACGTGTTCCAAAAGAAGAAGAAAAGATAAGAAAAAAGAGTTTTACCCAGTGGCCCTCGACCCTTTGAAGCCGCGCAGGACTGGATTCCAAACGTTACAGAATAAACCAATGTATAGTAAAGAACTTAGAATGAACTTAGATATTGCTCATGCATATAACGAAGATAAGATTTTAGGACAAAGTCAGTAGTCTATTTGATTATTTTACTCTGAGCACCACTGCTGTCATGCGCAGTGTTGCTCTCTCTTTGCTCTCTCTTGCGCATACGGTCTGCATAGCAACCCAGCCCACCAATCAAAATAAGTAAGCATACTAATGTACTACGTGACGTAAAAAGTCAATCGCGAATAACAAATTATTAATAATATTAACAAATAGACAAAAGGTATCTCTTTCAATGCACCATGGGAAACAGTGCATTGCACATGGACTTCTACTCCCCATGACCTTTGGACCCCAAGAGAAAAAGATTGACATACCTCTCTTAATGCATCTACTGTCGGTTCAGCGTACTTGTAGGCAAATCCTGTCTTTTCGATTTTTGTGCCGTCAATAAAAAGATGCTTGTCGTAAAGTAGTTCCTGGAATAGAAATACGATAAAATAAGGTAACCATGACGACGGTGCGCATTACACCCTTTCGCTCTATTAGTTAGAGCAGTTTTCGTATGACCGTGAAATAGTCGAAGCCGTATGCGTGCCGTGCCGTGACCGTGATGTTTTCTAGAATTTTGATTGGGTGATTTTTTTCTCGACCAATGTGGTTGGTCTGGCAGAGCCGTGACCGTGTCCGCGCCGTGTTCATGCCGTGTTACGGGTATTTGATTGGATGAAAAGTAAATTCACGTGCCATATGATTGGTCTGGCATATGCCTTGCCGTGCCACCACCGTGTTCGTGCTGTAAGCTTCARCATGGTAGTCAACACGCATGTGTGAGGTCCATGGGAATCAAACAAAAAGTCTCTTGTTTGCGGGCAGCGCGCTCACAAATTTACAGCGCCACACTTGGCTCCTGGCTTTGAATTACAAATAGTTGTAAAGCATGGGAAGTTTCGAAGCATTTGTGGCGTAGTGGTGAGAGCGCTCGCCTCTCACCAATGCGACCCAGAATCGATCCTCGGACTCGTTTTATGTAAGTAGAGTTGTTTGTCGTCTCTCTCCTGTGCTTTGAGGGTTTTTTTCCCGGTTCTCCGGTTTTCCTTCCTCCTCAAAAATCAACTTCTAAATTCTAATTCGATGTAGAAAGCGCACATGTGTGGATATGCATATGAAATATAGGTGTTACGAATATCAAAGTTTATTTATGAAGTTTATTTAAATCCTTACCTGGTCTAAATATGGACTCAAGGGCGTGGCTTGTATGCCGTCTTTTTCACAAGCCTGGGACCAAGGCGCCAAGTGTTTTTCATTAGATTCCTCTACAGTACTTTCCATATTAACCTGTAGATAATAAACAATTATTGGATGACGTATCAGCTCAATTTGATGTATAATAAGTATAGGAAATCGCACGATCTAGAGTACAATTTGGAAATTAATAGACACGAGTAATGTTTTGAAAGTTCTTGAGCCTTTAGGCGAGTGCAATTAAAGAACTTTCAAAACATTACGAGTGTCTATTAATTCCAAATCGTACGAGAAGATCGTGCGATTTTTTGTTTATAGTTCACTCAACAAAATTTCAGTAAAAAATGCGAAGCGACGCCGTTCATCTTTGTTTATTTGGCGGCCGATTTTCAGTACATCGCGCAACTGAAATGCATAAAAAAGATTAGTTCTTACGGCTTTAAAATTTTATTTATATGTTTTTTAAGTACAAAATGATAGAAAATACTTGTTTTGACATGGTTTTGGCCGTGTGGCCATAGCGACTTAATTCGGTACTCCTACGGAGTACAATTAACGCTAGAATTATACTCCTCTCGACCAATCAGAGTCGAGTAATTTTGTTGAGTGTACTATAATAGTGGTTATGGTATAACTTAGAATATGAGGTGACGCGCGAAAAAAGGCTCAATACTTACTCGTGCAAGATTTGATAAAACTGTTCCAAAATAATTGTGTTCGATTCCAAATATCTCACAAACTAGAGACGTTATGCTACCTTGAGCTGTGAATAAACAACACCAGAAACTGTCTTACTGATATGATGATACATTAACCATACGATAATTGTTGGTGGGCAATGAAGATTATAGAAATAAGAAATGATGTTGACATCGCTCATGATACTTAACGATAATGATGGTGATGATGATGATGAATAAGCTGAGCGGAGAAGGTTATGGCGATGATGGATAATGATGACGATGACAAATGATGATTGTAATGGTGATGATAATACATGATAACAACGGTTTATGTTGATGATAGTTATGATGGTAAAGATTATGATGATACATGACGATGATACATGACGACGATACATGACGACGATGATACATGATGATGATACATGATGGTACATGATGATGATACATGATGATGATACATGACGATGAT